GCAGAGGGCCACGGCGGAGGGCCACGGCAGAGGGCCACGGCGGCGCGGCTCTGCTCCGTCCCGTGAGAGCAGCTCTGCGGGGTGCGGGCGCGGCGAGCCCGATCCTCTTGGTGGTTGGATTTTCGACACTAGCTAGTCAGCTAGGTCGCATTAAGTCGCTGTCTGGAGGAGGATACTAGTGGACGGCTGCACTGATCGGTAGTTTTTCGTCGTTTCTCCGATCGACACCAGGTGAATGCCGGAGCAGTACCCTAAGAAACCTGTCAAGAACCGCGCGCGATCTTTCCTACCTCTTCCTTGTCCCATCCACGCCCACAAACTTACACCAACATGCACTACACTACCACGCATGGCTCTCTCTTTCTCTCTCTCTTTCTCTCTCTATTTCTATTTCTCTCATTCTCTCTCTCACGCACACGGACGGACAAAGAGATGGGTGGATGGATGGACAGATGGTCGGACGGACGGACAAAGACATGGATGAATGGGCAGATGGACGGACGGGCGGACATTGGACGGACAGGACCGACAGGTAGTCGGACACACGGGTGGACACATACACACAGTCAAACATTTTTTCATCAAGCAAGTTTTTCGGTAACGAAAATCCACAAAACGTGGGTCCTAACTACACAACGTGAGTGAATTTTTTTACTTTATTTAGGGTCAAGATTTATGCACTTGAGAGCGTAGGCTTCCGCGGCCAGAATCAGTATTTACTAGGCTGTCCGGGTGACGCCGCGTCCATGGCGAAGGTGCCGACGTTTCGGTCGCCATTCTGCGACCTTCCTCAGGGCGTAATGCGATGCCTTGAGGAAGGTCGCAGAATGGCGACCGAAACGTCGGCACCTTCGCCATGGACGCGGCGTCACCGGGACAGCCTAGTAAATATCTATCCACTTTTTATCATAGCTCCACAATACAATTTTTCTTACGAAAATTCTCTGATTTCTACCTCAGCATTACAATAATTCTTTAACGGGCAAGTACGAAAAGGGTGAGAATTTAAAAATGATATTGAATATCTGAAACAACAAAGATGTTAGTAGTTGCAGACCGCTTTTTGGAAGAAGAAAAAACATGATATTGAAACAGGTTTCAAAGCTGAAGTCATTAATTTCTTGATTTTTTTTTTCAGTTTTAATGGGGTTTTAGGGAAATTCGAGGTATTATTATACTATGTTACTCTGAATACCTTGAAGTGGTCTAGAGACTTTGACGCATCTGGACTAAAATTTCCTTTCAGGTGAGTAGACTTTTGTTTGTTATTGAAATTACAATATGTTTAACACCATACTTTGTACATTTTATTACATTTGTTTTGTAGATGTCTTCGTGCATCGGCTCATGAACTTCTCCAGAAATTGATATCGAAAACCAAGAGGTTAACAGATTATGGAACTGTGGATTCAGATATAATTGCTGAGATACAACATGATTTGTGGAGAAAGAAGAAATCTGTTAATCTTCCTGTTAGTATTTTATTAATTTAAATATGATTTTATGATACATATATAATTTTAACTTCAATAATTTGACGTACTCCTGTTCACATTTTTCTTTAATAATCTCAAGTAAATTCTTATGTTACCATCATTTAACTGTTCCAATTTTTTTATTTAGGTTGAAAAATTGTGTGCGTATGATTCAACTTGTTAAATTAATTAAATCCAATGTGACATGGAATATTATTTTGATTAAATTTGTATGCTAAGTAATGTCTTGTGATGATTTCAGGGATCGTTATTTTATTGTTTTATTTTTTTGTTTGTCTAAAGCGATGTAAAACTGGTACATAAAATTGCAATATTTTAGTGAAATTATTCACAATTTCAGATATATTTACGTTTTTCTTAGAGTTACAATGAAGATCAAATATCTTAGAAACAGTATTCTGAAAAACAATACACAATATTTACAGTTATAAAAGTAGATTTCCAAAAAAAAAAAAACTTTTATCGATATGAATTTGTCAGTGAGCAAAAAACTATTCTTGTTTGACAAATGAGATAGCAATGCAAAATCAAGGAAATGAATGAAAACAAATATTTCATCTGAATTGACAGAAGAAATGTGTAGACATCATGCGTGTGACCTCTTTAAATTTCCTTAAGTTTTAAAAATATCATTGCTATGCTATTTCATCTAAGTACTTCTTTATAAATAGAGAAAGAGGGAATGGGACATTTAACAATTAAGATTATCATTGATACATTACATAATGTAGTGGAATCTCGATAGCACGTTCCCCATTACAGTTTTGCCGCTTAATTTCAAGTTCCGGTCCCAATTCCATCAAGTTATTCGTTTACACGTTTAACAATCCCGCTTATCAAGTTCACAGTGTGTATAAGTAACTTGCTTCGCATAAGACACACTTTTCTGGTGCATCTTCAGTGTGTGTTGCTTTTCATGATACGTTTGGGAACTACTTTTTCCCTTGCGTGATTGCAGAGCCAGAGAAGATGTGTTTCGCTGCACGCCTCGTGCAATTTTTTTTTTCTGTTAGGCCTGTAAGCCACGAATGTTGAGTGTACGCGCGCCGCCTAACACTGATTCGTCTCTTACACGGTAGCTGCGCACACAAGTCGCTTAACGTGCGTCGTAGATTAACACGGGATCTTATGCGAAACGGTATTCGAGCGCTCTTGGAGACGTGCGTTGTGCCCGCAGCTGAAGCAAGTCTCTTGAGATACAATGTAAGTCAAGATAATGTTTCTAACTTTCAACGCGCGACGCGTGTTGACAACGCACGTCGCCAAGAGCTCTCGTGTGCGGTTTTGCATAAGATAGAGAGTTAATCAACGATACGTGTTTAGTGACTCGTGTTCACAGGCATCGACGCAGCTGTCAACGTTAGGTAACGTGCGTAAACGTAACGCTCGTATGCCACAGGGCTTAATTTTCATTACTTTGAGGTTTTTTTAGTAATTCAATTTTACCCAATGTCGTTTATGAATGAATTAGTTCATCCCGCAGATATTTACGTGTTATTTAAGAGTGAAATAGTTTCTTCTGTGGGAGTGCTTTGTAGACGTAAATATAAAAAGTAAGTATAAATCGAGTATTTTTCGTTCGCACAATTTCCCGCTTACGACGTTCAAAATTTGTAGTCCTTGGAAAAACGAACTACCGGGAATTCTAAAATTGTAGATTTCTGAGTTTTTCATCATACATAAGATCTTTTGAAATCATGATTGAGATATAAATCTGGATTAATTCATAAGAGGCTGTATTTGAGAGATTTTTGCCTCTTATAGTAATTGTTATTCAAAATAAAATAACAATCTGATTTTTTATTTTCGTTGATCCTTTTTTGTTGTTCAATTCAGTAAGTAAAGCATAAGATTTACAGTTCTTGTATACTTGTCACAAGTCTTGTATAATTCTTATTCAGTTTATTATGTTTGGCTGTCTTTAATATTCATTTTTTGTATAATAATCTTCAACCATATATCTTACCTTTTAATTGGCAATCTTTATTACTAATTTTTGTTACTGCCAACGGTGTTCGGCTTATGTATTATGGCTGGGTTTTGGCAGTGTGATTCAAAGAATTTTGGCTGATCCAAATTGAAAGTAAATTGTTTGTTTAATTCACTTTAATAAGACTTTCTCATGTACTTGAAAAACTAATGCATTGATTTTTCCTAATTATTATTGTATAGTTATTTGCTTAATTTAAGTTAAACGAAATGGTTTTATAATTCTGCTTGTGATGTTAATGACTTCATGTTTTAAACTTTTATAATTCTTATTTTTTCATTAACTATAATTTTTTTGATAAAAAAACAATTATAAAAAATAAAAGTACATCTTTTCAAAAAAAATTGGAGTAATCCTATATTCATGAGCTTCACAGTGAAACATTTCTTAGCTGTTTGAATCGGTTCTGGAAGGAAATATATAGTACGTAGAAAATTAGTAACATAATTCATTGAATTTTCACTTATGCTTTAAAAACATTATGTAATAAACTTAAAAGGCTCTCTGTCAAGAATTAGCATAATTTGTTTGTTATTTTACAATGAATTTACCCTTCAATACTCTTCTTTGATTCTTACTGAAATGTTTTTTTAGGGAGAATGTGAAAGCAATGCCGTGCAAGTGTCATCTTTAAAATTGGATGATCTGGATATTGAGGAGAAGCTATTTATAAAGGCTTTGCAAACACTACAGTCAGTGATTACATCTCTACCCTCTTTGGAGTTCTCTGTCTATATGGTGTGTATTGTTCTCTGCAGTAATAGTAATAGAAATAGTAGTAATATGAGTAGTAGCAATATTGACAACAACAACAATTGGTTATTGTAATAATAAAAGATAAGCATAGATGTCCTCATTTGGCATCCATGTCAGATAGTGCCACAGATGGAAACCCTCCTGAAAAAAGGACATGGAACCCTGGCAGTGCCACGAAAGGAGCAAAACCAGGAACCTATTGCGGGCGTGATGTGGAAAAAATGGAAATTCATGGAACAGCTGCAAAAGGTACAGATGAAACTAATAACCTGGCCTGAAATCTGATTGTAGTTGGGAGCAAGTTTTTAAGAAAAAATTCCCACAAGAGAAATCATTATCTAAAGCCATAGAAACGATTGGCATGGTAAAGAACAAATGTCAAGCTATGGCAGGAGAACGATGAGGTTTATAGGAACATGAAATAATTATATGCGTCGTCATTGCCAACAATATTATTTATTAAAATAGCAGCTTTGACCTAAATAACGGTGACATTTACACCTTCCAACAAGGCAATGCTTTCTCAATTCTGAATGTTACTGTATTCTCCACGAAGCTAAGTGTCAAGGATTAGATAGTACTGGAGGACGAGTCACTTAGCGACAATTTGCACCTACAATTCCCCATCATTACAAATCGGGAGTATCATCCTGACGTGGCTAGATATACTTCAGACAGAGCACTCTGGTTATAAATTAAATGTAGACAAGGCTAAGGAGTCTCTGGAGACATCTAGCCTGATGAAGATGAGCGAGACGCGCAGAATCTCTCGAGGAAGTGGTAGTTGTGTGCGTTGGTTCTAATCTTAGACGCAGAGGCTCTAAAAGCAAGGTCCATGACTAAGTGGTCGCCTGAAATTGCATAGCTCTGCAAAACGTGCATCACGGCGAGAGGATTAGCGACGGGGACCAGGACAATTCCTTCCTTCACAAATCACTATAAAAATTCTCGAAAACTGCTCAAGAGAGATTAAAAGAAGCAAATCTAAGTGTTGGAAGAGACTTATAGTATATGATATCAAAAACAGTCTTAGGGCATGGCCTACGAAATCGTGACGAAGAAATTTAGAGCGCATTGTTAGACACCTGGACTAGACGTCCCACACTGGATGTAGAACATAAAAGACGCTCGAGATCGTTGACAAAGACAAAGACTGAGCAGCTTTTCTTTTGAGGGAAGAGATCAGATTACGTTGGACGAACGACGGAGTGCCGTGACTACCATGAAATGTGGGAGAGCGCCGCGTTTCGGAGGGATCTCATGATCTCTTTCATTTAAAATCATGACAGAGAAGACAGACAGAGAGAAGTACTGCTTATCTGTTGTCAACTGCTTCTGTGGGAATAGAACGTTTACCGCGCGGTGGAAGAAACAGAAACTCATTCTTCTTCAGAAGGGTAACAAGCCGGTAAATCAAACTTCGTCTTTTATATCAGTTTGCCTCTTGGGTAAGCTGCTTGAGAGTCTATTTCTTGAAATAGTCGAGAAACACCTGTCGGAAGCGACAAATTGATCACCCAGACAATATGGCTTCTGGATCCGATAACGCACGCCATCCTGAAGATAGACAAACGAGGTGATAGAAGAAGAAAGGATTTTGTGCGCTAGTTGCCACAGATAAAAAACACTTTCAAGTCTCCCAGATGGAAGGCCGTCATTGAGGCACTGGTAGACAAGAATGACCCGGAATACCTCTTGAGGACGATCGAAGATTACCTTCACGAGAGAAAAACAGTGTTCGCGGACACATGTTCAATCGAAGAGGATGCGGCTTGTGGTGTGCCTCAAGGCTCTAGACTGGGTCCACTATTATGGAATCCCATGTATCACAGGCTATTACACATTGTCATCCATATTATAGTCTACGCAGAAGATATCCTCAACATCTAGCATAGGAACGATATCGACTAGCTGGAAGTGAAAGTGAACGAAACCCTTTTCAGGGTGAAAAGATGGTTTGCCAGGAGACTTTCATTTGGCTGTGGAGAAAACCAAAGTAATGTTAATTACGGGCCGGAGAGCATTCCGTTCCCAATATATTCAACTCGGGGACGTGAACATCAAGTGGAGACGTCAAATACCGTATTTGAGAGCCGCGATCGAACACAGGGTCGTTTCGGCTCGCACATTGACAAGACGACGGACAAGGTAGCGAAGCCATGCTCCGACATCTCCAAATTAACGCCAAATGCGTAAGGCCCAAAAGAGGCGAAGCGTAGAACGACGTGCCGTTCATGTGGTCTCAGTATGAATCGAATTGAATTAATGCCTTATTTTAAGTGGCGGTACTCAGGCCATGAGGCCTGCTCTTCCGTCTGACCACGCAAATTTCGCAGCGCTCCTTTCACCAACTAGCTGAGAATGAAGGTATTTCATGGGCGAGAAACAGGCGATTTGAATTTAGCTCAGAGGCCTCATTTAGGCTTGCGGATCTTTTACATGCAAATAAATCTAACATGGGACAGCCGGCTTTACTTCCCCTCCGAAGGAAGGCGAACGAAGGTTTTTTCGCCCTTAAAAATCCACGGCTTCGATCGGGTTTGAACCCGCTAATTTGGGTTTAACAGTCCGATACGCTAACCGTTGCACCATCGCCGCGCGCTATGGGAAGATAAACTCAGTAAAGCCTGCGTGCGATCGAAGTATACGTAAATGCAAAGGGCATTGGCGCTGAGAACAGTGTCAGCCTACCGTACGGGCTCTGACAGCGCAGTAAGGGTACTAGCAACTGTATCTCATATTGATCTGTTTGCAAGAGAAAAGAAAGCAATCTACGACGAAGTGAAGCTAACTCACCCCGTTCGCGATGGACCGCTGCGCTGGACGAAAGAAGACACCAACAAGAGCGCAACAAAGATGATCGGTATCGAACCGTGGTTTTGTAGAACCCATAGGGAGGAACATTTCTACTTTTCCCAAGTGCTTTCGGAACACGGCGACTTTAAATCTTATCGGTTTAGATTTAAAAGAACAGTCGACCCGAAATGTGAATTTTGTGGGTATGAAGATAATGATGTCATGCATACAATATTAATATACATAGCATGGGATACTCAGCAAAGAAAACATATCGAAGACTTAGACGTGGATATCTCCCGATTAAATATTGTACGCTTATGACATAATACAAGAGTCCCTCACTTTCATCATGAAAAAAAGAAGAAAGGCACATTGAAGTATTGTTTCAGCTGCCTGCCTGTCTCTCCAAGAAGTAATGTCTCGTGATGGTTACGTAGAAAGAGTAATGGGCCCAAGACATGAGGTTTTCTTAGTGGCTGAGATTCCCACACACCAGGGATTGACCATATTTATCCCTGATGCAATGTAAGGCATTGTCCCCTCACAAAAAATATAATAAAAAAAATAACTAGACGTAGCATAAGAAAGCAATGGAGATGCCCAATGAGAAGTAGCAAATAGGGTGCTGGGGTATCCTGAAGCTCCCCTTTTTGTATGCTTAAGATAAGAAGAAACATTATTACTATTTGGAGTTAGGGTGAATGAAAGTGGCCAATCTATATTCAAGAAACCCTCTTTTGCAGTCACAAGACCTGTTTCACTGAATTGTAGACAAATTCTTTAAATAGTTAAGTACCTGTCTCTGTTTTTCCATTTTTGCTTTGTTACTTCAATAGAAATGAGTAAAAAACATAATTCTGCGAATATAATTTTCAAGATTGGGATAGAATACACATTATCAGGCTTATTGTTAGTGATATTACCCCAATAGTGATATTTTTAAAATGTTTCAGTTGGCAATCTATGAACAATTCACACACGTAATTTTATGATGAATCTGGAAGAGCCATACAAATTTCAAATGGATGTGGTAATTTTTAAAATAGTTTATTAGTTGGAGACTATCTAGAATTATCTGTGTTCCTCCACAATTTCTCGTGCCTGTTCCCCATATGTTAACCTTGTTTCCCAACATGTTTGCCTACTTGTTCAGGCATGTTCACTGCATGTTCCTTGGCATATTTAATTTGAATTTTATCTGAAAATTCATAAATTTATTTTAAGTTCTTGTGTCTCTAAACTTTGTGGCAGTTGACCGAATAGTGGCTGATGAAATGTGAAATTTGCTATTAAGCTGAATTCCTGGAGCTCTGAAGTACTAGAGTACCAGTAGAGATGTATCCCCCAAAATGTAATAGACTGAAAAGATTTCATTGTGTAGAAAACATTTTTACAAAATCCAATGCTGATCTGAAAACTAGATTTTAAAGCCTAGGTACACTCCCTTTTCAATTTATGTTTGTGTTATGAGCTGCATTTGTGGTTGCTAATTTTGAGACCCTAGTTTTATTTTGCTTTTGTGAGTAATAAAATTTATGAATGTGTTCCACACCCTAACTTCTTATGATGCAAGGAATGCTAATGAATGCCATTCCAATATGTTGTTCTCTTAAGAAAGTTCTCAATCTTTAGAGAAGTAGTGTAGAGTGATGATGCCAGTTTTGTGATTAAAGAATTAAAACTTGAAAATCTCAATGAAGTGTGTTAGGTTATATTCTTTACCTCTTTTACACCATAAATGGAACCAAGCACTGCCACAATATTTGTAGTGATAGTCTTCAACATCACTACTAGTGAGTAATATCATTGAAGGGTCATACCAAGGGTTCTTGCAGTCCTATACCCATGTACAAAATTATACCTGTTAAATGAAAATCTACACAAAATGAAATTAGTTGGTACTCAATAATGTTGAGACTACTCTAATATTCAGTCACATTCACTTCACATATATTATCCAAATCGTTGCTCATTTCAAGAGAGGAACTCTAGATATCAGTTGTAGTGAATATTAAAAATAAAATTTTCCTTCTCATTATTGCAATAAGCTCATAATCAATAAGAATATATTATTATGTTTGTGGATTTATCATATTCAAGAGATTGTCACATATGTGAAAATTCAGAGAGTTGAATATAGCCCTAAATGCAGAGGAATGTAATTGTTACATATTAATTCACAAGAAATTGTGATCTATACACTTATGTAGCACTCACAATAAGTGAAATAAAGAGAATAAAAAACAGAGAATGACGTCATCTACATGAGGCATATTATCAGTAATTCAATACATATAAATTTTGTAGGAATTAAAATTAAATGTCTTTTTGTTAGATATGTAAGAATAGGTTTTAGTCATTGTTTTTCATTTCAACGTCATCCTAAAGAAATGCAATTTTCATCAATATTTTAAATTATTTTAACTTTGATTCAGAATGATAAAATAAGAGTATAAATGCCTAATTATATAAAAGTTAAAGATAGATTTACTTATTCATCAATTTATTCTTTATTTATTGAAATCTAAATCTAAATTGTAACTTCTTTTGTTCCATGGTACAGATGGTGATACAAATGGTGAGATCTCTCTTAAAGAATGTTCCAAAGGCATGTGAACACAAGGCAATTCCAACATCTTACAATTTTGCTAACTGGAGGGAGAAAATTTTCCAACTTGTTCTTGCTTTGCATGAAAATCCTCGTGAATGTGTAAATGTGCAACAAGAGTTTCCTCTAGATAAAGTCACACTTTCACTCTTTGGATACAATCCCTGCAAACTCAATTTTGAGGTGAGTGAATACATGGTTGATAAAAAAAAGTTAGGTAACTTTGAAAGGTTCAATTATCTTATGATATGCATGTGGTCAACTGAGTGAGTAGTGCTTTTCTGCATGGAATTTAATGTGAATTAAAAACAATGAAGTTCCTTCTAGAAAAAAATTAATACATTAACAATCACATACCAATGCTATTCCTGTACCTGGAAAAAACCAATGAGAGAGATTTAACTGCAGGCCCCAAAATAAATGCCAAGATTGAGGGAAAATTTTATATTTTGAAATACTAATGATGGATGTATTTAGCAATACAGTCATTTTCTGCTTATCCGTGTTAAAACATTATATAGTGAATATAATATTTAAGTAATGACAGGGTCATATCCGTACTAACTTGCATAGTTTATACTTTTTCTGTTCTTACAATCTTCTTAGCAAGGGATACAAATGGTGATATACTTTTTTTGAAAAACCAACTCAATATTTGCTGTGTTGCTCCAGTAGCATGACTGCTTTCTACATTGAAAGATACTAAAATAAGATAAGAATGTGATTATGGACAGGGCTGGAAGTGTGGCATAGTGGGTTATCGTTGTCATTTGTGTGATATGTATCTACCGAGCAATGGGGTTTAACGTTAGAAGACCCTGGTAAATAAGCAGAATGCTTTGTGCGCTTGTGGAGACAAAAGTGAGAGTCTCAGTTTCACAGCTGTAGGTTTTGTGCAAATATATACATGATTTGCAAAGGACATTAGCAGTGATAATTTTTGTGTTTGAAGAAGTAGGTGTAAGTGGTGAAATTGTGAGAATGAAATCTTGTCATTACATGGATATTCTTTTGCTTAAGAAAGACTTTCTTCTTTTTTCTCTTAAAAAGAAGCAATTGAGGGGAAGTCAATGACACCATACCTGTTACTTTCTATTCATTGAGACGTTACAGCAATAAGAAAACTGGAGTTTCTACAAAGCAATTATACAATACGCAACAGTTTCCAATTTTTTTTAAACTCCCAATATATGTAGAAAGACGAAACTAACACTATGGGTTCAGAAAGGTTCTAATAACAAAAATCCCCAAAAGCTGAAACAATGATTAATAATGATAAAAGAGAAAATTATGCTGAGTCCCCCTCATTGGTATGCGTCTCTTAAAGCAACACTAACTCTAAAAGACCAATTTTTCATAGAAGAATTATCGTATTCTAGGGTCTAATGTATTTTGGCTCTGTTAATTTTGATTATCTTCTTGTAACTAACACAGATTTGGTTTTCTCAATGTCATTCAATGTCTGTTCTGAGACAATCCAATCACTCAGAAATTGAAATTCGAGATGATTCAGATTTGATTCAGAGATGGTGATGCTTGATGAATAATGTTAGTTGCTGCAATGTCTACCACTGAATCTTCTGTGCAGATGACAGCATTGATCCTTAACTTTTGAGATGAAAAGAATTTTCGACTCAAAGTTTCAACGTTTCCTCCCCAGATACCCTGTATGCTCAGAATTACATAAACAAATGCCTATGAGATATTAAATGTCTTAGATATAAGGGCACAAACCACGTATTTTATAACTGACAATTAGGACAAGGAAGGACTTGAAGTTATATGTTCTATGCATTATGTACAATTACTCAAAACAGACATGATTTGTGAGTCTACTCACTGATATGATGAATGTCTATCTTATAATACAGCTACATTATGTATGCTGTGTATGTGTATGCATTGTGTAGTACTGTTCGTGTATTGTGTATTCAAAATTAAACATTCACTGACAGTCACAGCAAACTCCCAATAAAGGAGACCCATTAGTAAGAGAATTTTGCTTTTCAGAGACCTCAAAGAAATCTGTTTATAAATGTGTCCCCATTTATGAGTTATGTGCTTACAAGATACCAGCTTCATTTCTGTTCAGTTCAGACTCTATGTACTATCTTCACGCTCCTAATTTAAAAAAAATATCTTGTCCAATTTACAGGTTGTGCATGAGAATTTGCTTATAGGCAACAGTTTTAAAAATTTACACAATTTTCCAGGAGTAAAAAAAAATAAGTCACATATTTCATCTTTAAAAATATCTCTATATTTTTGTTTCATTAGGATCATGAAAAAATATATTTACATTGTTCTCGTTGAATTTTAAAAAGTCACAATTTTAATTCAAATATGACTCGGAAAAGCAAAATAAAGACCTTGCAAGGAAACTTGTTAATAATCATTAAATTACGTAATTATTACTATTCATTGATTTACAATCTTTGTTTCATTTCTATAAAAGAAGAATATTAAACTAGGGAAAATCATGCTTTTCTGTAACCCTTTTTATTTTCACAAGAGGAAACAATGGTAGTTAATGTAGCTAGAGAATGTATAAATTATATGCTTTGGTTGAAGGGTTACATGTTCAAAGCCTACACTGTATATGGACGTTCGTTATTTAAATGTGTTGCCGCAATATGCCTTACAATGTGCCTTATACCAAAACCTTCTAATGTGTGAGCATAAAATATGATAGTGCATAGTCTAATGAATATTGTTTTGTTTTGGAAATGTAAGATTTTTTGCAGCAGCTGCAAAAGACCCTTGAAATAAATAAAAACCTATTTGCAAAGTATTAAATGATGTAATAATATTTTTTTATAATCACATTAGGGTAAACTTATTTTTATTTTATTTTACGATTTCTTCAAATTTACTATAGTTTCAAGAGTAAATGGTGTTCATATAATATTAGCAGATCCTTTACCAACTTGTTATTTATATCATTGTTTGAAGAATTTAAAGTAAAAATGCATGATAGTTAATTTAAATATCTGATCAAATTTTATTATTATTTGTCATACATATTCTTTCACAATCATTTTTTTTCATTATGCAACTAAAAATATTGTTATAAAAATGGTGCTATTTTTAAACAATTTTTTGTGAAATTTTAATGCATAAATATGTGTAAGACATTTAAATAATTTCTGTTAAATGAATTGTACTTTAAATTTTTTCCAGGTATTACCCTCCCCTGAACCAACGACTCCTGATTCTCTGGATGAAATTAATTTATTTGAAAGTCGTACTTCACTTAATAAGAAGCATAAAACGTCACAGGATTATTCGTACTTGCAATCTGCTACTACATCTAATAATGACATCAATATCCATATTCCTGATGATGAAATTAGTTCAAGTAAATTGAACGCTGATAAGAAGGACGTAAAGAACGAGAAACAAAAGATTATGGAAAATGGAAACAGAAAGATAAAGGGAAAAATTGTAGGGAGATATAGTGATTATGAAGCAACCGTTGAAAATCAGCAGGAGAATCAAAATAAGAGTTGCAAGGATGAACAGGATTTAAGTCCTAATGATTCTGAGGAAGCAACAGTATCTAAAAAACCCAAGAAAACTGTACATTTTGAATTAGAATCATTGTCAAAGCCAAAAATCCATACACTCAACAAGAAAACCAAAAATAAAGCAAAACCTTTATTTGCATCTTCAGATGTTCAGTTCCAGACACACAAATATGAATTACGACCTTTATCAATTAAGAGAATGCTATGCAGTCGCTATAACTTCCCAAGTGCAGAAAGTACTTAAACTGATTCTGAAAAAAAATCGAATGTGAAAATTTCATAAACTAAATATTTTTTTCATAAAAGTCAATCAAATAATATTTTGGAAAAAACAAGAAAAGAGGCCCCCAAAAAAGTTTTCAGTCTTTTAAAAATGATGTAGTTTTACCTTTTTGAAATTGAGTAAATAAAGCTAAAAAAACGTAGTTAGAACTGTATTTGTATTTCTTGAAATTAACTGCCTTGGAATCTATATCCAAATATTATGAAAATAACTATGCTTTATTGAAATGCACTACGTCTCCAAAAAGAGGTGTGGTTTTTCTCTGTTAATTCATTCCTATTTTGTTATGAATTTTATTTTATTAATTGAAATTCTGCTTTCTGTGTGGTTGCCTAAGGAAATGCCAAAATCATTTACTAAGTATATCAATATATCAGGTGTGGTTAAATCATTGTTTCACACTGACACATAAGTGCTGACAAATATAAGGAACGTCATGATCTCAAATACCTGATCTGTTGATTATAAACAGGAACTCAGTTGAAGATATTACTTTTATTATTGTAAGTTGCATTATATCATGTATACTTAGTTAATGCACTTATTTAGAAAAGGCATATATGTATTGCTGTGATTATTGGAAATAAAAAATCTTTAAAATCAATTGAGAAATTTACAATTTTGTCAACCATCTTTCATAATAGGTTCTGAAAATGCTAGTAGCTCAATTATTTTTCTTGATCAGTATTTTTTTTTATAAGAACTAATAAAAACTAATGAAGACAAGAAGAAACATTTGAATAAAAACCATTAACTTCTGGATGATTAATTAATTATGATTATATCTTAAAGGATCATGGAAACATGAAGGGTGTTGAATTTGACTAAATGTATAAAAAATTAGAAACCAAGGAAAACTGAAAAATACCCGGCAGTCGTTCTGCCCTTCATCTCTCTCTTTCTCCTTCCCTGTCCCTTTCTCTCCGTCTCTCCGTCTCTCTCTCTCTCTCTGAATCAGTCTATCTGATTCTCTCTCTTTCTCTTTCCCTCTCCCCCAGTCTCCGTCTCTGTCCGGGTCCCTCCCTTTTCAGTCTCTGTCTCTCAGACGCTCTCTGTCTCTGTCAATATCTTTCTGTCTCTGCCTCTTTGTGCGTCTGTCTGTGTCTCTGTCCTCCAGCCTCACCCTGCGTCACACGGCAATACTCAGCCACAATGAAGCTCAGGTGGAGCGCTTTTTGAATGGAAATTGAATTACAACGAAGAGCAATGTTCCGCAGCGCCATCTATTAGGGTTACAACAAAATTAACAGCACATAAACCACGTGGGTGAAAAACTCGTAGATGTGCCTACTTTCATGGAGATCGGTCACGTGGTGTCGTAGTATTATATAGAGAGAAGATAAGGCTTACTTCAAAATGAAACTAGTGGTTAACATTTTCTCATATAAGTGATATTGGTAAAGTAACATTAGGGAGTTTTAGCGCCAGGCGGAAGGAGATATCCTTAAACTCTATTGATCACGTGACTAACGCTTTTATACGGTCGTAATGAACAACGTTCAGAAGAGTTTTAGCAATTGCGTTATGCATTATAACAAAGGAAGCATTCCAAGCGTTGAACAGAGAAATTACATAATATATCAGAGTGTAGGCTAGTGGTGAGACATTTAAAGCCCGTTACGAGTCCACAGAACAACAAATATACATTGTGCATGGAGTTTTTAGTTTTTGTGACCCTCCGCGATGAATATGCAGTCTGAAAGTTGGAATCTGCTTACCTTGAAAATATAGGAAATACCTTAAAACAGCGTTCGTTATGAGCGTAGGACATAACCTACCGCGAAGATATGATTTGAACTCCTTTTTCGCGAATTTCTTTCCCGTCACCACTCCAACATATCCCGTTAATTCTTGCCATCGTTCTGGAGTTAGTAAGGAATAATTGTAACTGCCTCACATACGAGAATCGGTGTACGAGAGTTGGAAAAACTCAACCAAATCCCCAAAAGTGTTTTTAGGCGGCCATTTTGCCGCTTGTAAGGTGACCGTAGAGACCCCCACAGGCGTGCACTATTTATGAAGGTATAAGGTCGTACCTTAGGCCTAACGTAAGACGTTATAACTTCAAGGACCGTCACGTGACTGTTAGTGCATAACGCCGCTACCTTACGCGAGGCGCTAAAACTCCCTATTATTACAAAGACATACAAACCCCTTGTCTAGCTCAGCACCACAATCCATCCACCCTCACGCATGCGCACAAACGCAATCTCACGCGCGCGCACACGATCTTACGCGCACGCACGCTCGCGTGCACATACACGCACTCACACGCACGCACGCGCTCGCACCAACACATACGCGTTCGCGCGCGCCCACAAGCGCTCACATGTGCCCACAAGCGCCCACAAGCTTCACATGCGCCCACAAGCGCTCACGCGCGCGCTCACGGGCACATGCGTTCAGCGCACACACAAACGCCCTCTTGCGCGTTCGAACTCACGCACGCTCTTATATCAATTCTTTCTCTCTCTCTCTCCCACACACACGTACACAAACGCACATGCACGAGCGCGTGTGCGCGCTCTCTCCTTCACACTCTACAATTACCCTCCATTGTTTCACATCCGTAGCTTGCAGGCCAGATGCGTTCCATCTCTCAACCTCCTACGTACACTGGGTGCGATCTCATGGGAAGCAGACCAGCATTGTCGTCTGAGACTCTATAGAGCACTCGTTCGTTCAGTATTAGATTATGACAGCCTCATATGGACCGGCCTCTTTCTTTATCACGCTTCTTCTCCTTCTTCTTCTTCACGTTTTCTACCCCTAAGAATTTGCAGTTTTCGTTTTCCATAGTTTCCGGTCTTTCCATTTACCTTCTAATCCTTTCTCCTGTATATAGGCCTTCCAGGTCAAAACAGGTCTAACTCTTCTACGCCTTCTTTCATGTATCTTCTTTTTTTTCCATCTCTCATTTTGCATCCTCTGGACATGACCATACCATTGAATAGCTTTATTTTCTAGTCTCATAGCTCTTTCCCATACCTCTTCGTTCCTTATCTGGTCCAGCCTTGTTATCTGCAAAGATCTCGTAAAGTCGAGCTCTACTGACCGTACTCTGTCACTACGGTTTCACCCGTCAGCGGGGTACCACCTCAGTCAGAGCAAGTTCTAAGCTCCCGATTGGTCTTCCGGCATGTATGGTAGTGTAGTGCACGTATGTGTAAGTGTATATAAGTGATGAAGATAAGACAAGGATGAGGAAGGAAATATCGCGGTTTGTGGTAAGTTTATTAGGGCACTGCTCCGGCATTTACCAGGTTTAGATCTAAGAAACCAAAGAAAACTACTGAAGAGAGCAGCCGGCCGCTCGAATTTTCCTCCAGCCGGCGTCTGAACTAGACCTAGCTGACCTAGCTAACGTCAAAAATCCTGCCATTGTCGAGACTCGAACATTAGAACTTCTCAGTCAGAGACAGCGCGTTAAAATCGACTAATTCCCTGATTTATCTATGTCGTTATCCCAACGTCCCAATAACATACTTCTTGAGATACGGGGTGGTTTGTAAGTATTTTCAGACGGATAAGAAGCGAGAAACAACACCTTTTCTGTATCAATACATATCTGTATAAATCATGTTTTTTTGACTTCTCCACTAAATTCGCTATATACAGATGAGCAAGAACTTCTTCTCCGCAAAACGTGTTTTTTTCTAGAATAACGAGTATCTTCTCATGCACCATTATTCAACTTTCTCTCAATACGTAATAGTTGCGAGTAAATAACTTACACCTAATAAATAAAATGTACATTCGTTTATTTACATGCGTTAGTCTATCAGTATTTATACTATAGAAATCAAGTTTGAAAATAAAACTCAATTTTTTCATAATTCCTTTTAAATTTTTATACTACACATTTTTTTCTAACAGAAATACCATGAATTTAAAATATAACTTTCTAGGGGCCGCACTTTTTTAAATTATAGGAATCACGTAAAAAATTAATCAGTGGTAGGCTTCATAAATATTTTGTACGTTATTTTCATTTTGAAGGTAACACTTGAAGTTAAAAATGACGTACGGTACCTAGTGTGAAAATGATACATAACAATACAGTTGTTAATATTTCCACATTTCCGTTTTCTACTACAAATAATATGAGTATAGACCTAGATAGTAGGAAAGACAGATAGATATAGGGAATTAACTGAGAACGAGGTATTTAGATGTCTGTTAGGTGATCAGATGTTTGCGCGCGGTCCTAGTTCATTGTTTATGCATCGCGATCTTCTAATCTGCGAAGGAAGGTGGGCGGACAGCCTCTGTTGCGCTTTTGTTGACCCTGTCTTTTGTTCGATGTATGAGAAGGCAAAATGCTAAAAGTTTTTTCGAAACTAAAATTATCTCTATTTCTTCTCACTAAGTTTTCGCTGAGATCAACAATTGTTGCAATGAAGGATCTCGCAGGTGCAATTGCTACGGGAATGACGTCAAAAGAGTCGCAGGATCATAATGATTGTCAGCCGACACAAGCGGCTTACAATACAAAATCAAATGTTAAAGCCCGCGAAAAGCTTTTGAAGAAAGGACCGTCACTGGTTGAGAATATCGAAAAAGAAACTGTACAAACTGAATATATTTTATGTTTAGCTGAAGTTAAAAGGTCTAGAAAGAAATACGAAACAAATTGCGATCATCAGCACGTGTGCATGTTATGTGAAGAAAGATTTAGATATCTTTCGCAATTAAAGCGGCATATTGCTGCTCACGCTGGGGAAAGGCCATTCAGTTGTGATAAATGCGGGAAAAGATTTGCATTGCGTGGAACCCTTACGCGACATGAAAAAACACATGTATTTCCCAAGAAAAGGAAACAAAGAGGTAGGAAGAAAAATAGAATCTGAAAATTTTCTGTCACGGAAAGTGTTAGTTTATGACTTTTGATTGTGGAGAATACGTTGTGAAGAAGTAAATTCCCATTGTAACATACAAGTAAAATAGTAGAAAATTTACAGAAAAGACAAGCCAAAGATAAAGTACCAAAGTTTTATGAAAAGAGCACAGTTGACATTGTTTCTATTTTAAATTTATTGAATGTTCGAGCAAGTCTAAATGGGGAAGTGAATGTGAGAAAATCCCTAATATATACCTTGTTAAGTTTTAATAATTAATAGTAAATTGTTCACAGTTGCAGAGTTGACATTGTTTCTCTTTTAAATTTATTGAATGTTAAAGCAAGTGTAAGCGAAGAAGTGAATGTGAGAAAATACTTATTTATATTCCTAGTGAAGTTTTAATAATTAATAGTAAATTGTTCACAGTTGCAGAGTTGACATTGTTCCTCTAATAAGTTTATTGAATGTTAAAGCAAGTGTAAGTGAAGAAGTGAATGTGAGAAAATCCTTAATTATATATCTTGTTAAATTTCAATAATTAATTGTTTACAGTTGCAGTCTTGCCACTGTTCCTCTTTTAAATTTATTGATTGCTAAAGCAAGTTTAAGTGGAGAAGTGAATGTGAGAAAAGCCTTTATTTACATATCTTGTTAAGTTTAATAATTAATTGCTAATGGATGAACATATTGTATACTTAAATTGAATGAAACTCATTTGTTGTCAAATAAAATTTTCATACTGAATATAAAAAGTCTTCATTTTATCTGTAAATTTTATGGGTTCTTTTACATAGTAACTACAAACTGGATTGTAGTGTTCACAATAAAGCATACAGACATTATGTAACACATTTGATTTATTGGACATTTTTGCAGAAAACAAATTTGAATGTTTGATTATATAATTTAAATTATATTTTAGTTCTCTTTTGCATTTGAGCCTTGACTTGAGTATGTTGGTTTTTACTATCAATTATGTTTTATGTTTTTGATTACCAGTTGAAGGCATTTTAGCATGAACATTTTTAGAAGATAACTTTTTTGAAGAATATATAGAATTGTGACAATTTAAATTGAATACAGAACTAATAAAAATTAGCCTAATTTTGCACATAAAATTAGTACAATAGGCAATATTGGTAGCATTTCATGTTATGTTTCGTATTAATGGGTTAATTTTGTACCAAAGTAGATCAAGCAATTGGAGACATGAGAGAAACGGATTCAGCTATAATCTTTGCCTCAAAATCAAAGAGACTGTAAGCACTTTTGTTTTATAATTGTATAAGCTTTGATATAAATATTCCAAGTCCAGAAGTATTTCACACAGTATTCAGTTTAATAATATGCATTAAAAATTAAATTGTCACATTTACAAATTTGACAAAGTAATTACAAAATGATACCAAATTAATACTTTTTTATTTTAATATTTAATTGCATGAATTTTTGTACCACAAGTTTTCATTATTCTGGTTATGAAATATTAGAGATTGTAAGTTACAAGAGTTGTTGGTGGGCTTTATGTCGTAAAATTTAATCTTGAAACGTGTTTAACATTTCATTCAAATAATTTTGAAATACCTAACAAATTATAATAGTACATAAAATTTCTCAGAACTATTCTTCTTTAACATGTAACATTTTCTCAAATAATTCTCTAGAATTACCTACGTGAGACCAGTGTAAGTTTTAAATTAATGATATCCGTGAAAGATATAATATTTTATTAATTACACTCTGTTTGAAAAATACAAAACAAAAGTTTACTATACTCTCTCATACTTTTATTCATTCTCATAAAATGTTATTGTTATTTTTATTCTCAACGATTTTTATCAAATGGTAAGTCAGTAGTAACTAAGACAAAGAAAAATATATTTTCATAAACAAATAAGATAACTATGTAATTTTTAAGAAATTTCATAGAATAATGCCAATAATAAAAAGACCAAATTGTGCGACTGTGATTTTATGTTACTAAATTAAAATTTATACATGAAAGTTTCAAATTGGTAATATTATTAAAACACTAATCCTGTTTTACATATCAATAAAAAGTCAGTTTATGACAACATATTTTAAAAATTACTTCTTGATATTTTGATGATTCTTTGTTATGGCGGATCCATTGTTCTAGATTGTAAATGGCTGAATTGGCTTTGTCTTGCAAAGCTTTGGTTGTTCATTCTTTGAATATTATATTAGTGTCATCAGCAACAAGTACGGTTTTGTTGTTTTCCATTATTGATGGCAGATCATTCACATATATAAGAAATAAAATCAAGCCTAGTGTGGATCCTTGTGGGACCCCAAATGTCACATCCCTTGGCTTGAAGTGATGATTATTTATTTTGTTGTCTTTTTGGTAAGTTAATACTACAATTTGTTTTCTGTCTGATAGGTATGATTTTATTCATTTGTAAGTAATTCCTCGTATTCCATGATATTCTAATTTTGACAATAGAATTGTGTGATCTATTGTGTCAAAGGCTTTTGACAGATTGAGAAAGAGACCAACAAGAATTTCTTATTGCTCTAATGCCGTGAGGATTTCATTTACAACAGTGAGTAGAGCAGTTTCAGTTGAACAATTTTCCCTGAATCCATGTTGTGAGTCAGTGTTAATGTTACAGTGTATCAAATAGTTTTTAATTGTTCATAGAACAGTTTTTCTAATATGCTTGAAAAACCTGACAAGAGTGAAATTGGCCTAAATTTCATTACATCTTGTTTCTTATCTTTTTTGTATATAGGTTTAATTACAGCAATTTTAAATATGTTTGGGAAGGAGCCATGAGTTAGTGATTGGTTGTATAAATATGTTAATGGTTTGATGATATATGGAGCAATTTTTTGTATTAAGAAGTCTGGAATGTTGTCTATCCCAGCGGATTGTTTTTTGCATTTTGTGTATAATTTGAAGTATTTCCTTCTCTGTTGTTTCTGTGATGTACATGCTAGAAAGCGAGTTTTTAAAGAAAGGTGATGGTTGTAGAGGTGTAGTGTTTGGATTTCTTGGTTTTAGTAGTCTACCAGCAATTTCAGTGAAGTGTTTGTTGAATATACTGGCTGTTGCCTTAGGGTTTTTCTTCTGTGTTCATGAACTAGTTCCATATTTTGTGTTTTATTATTTCCTGGTAATGTTTTTTTTACAATATTCCACATACCTTTGGTTGTTTTTTTTTGTCCTTTTTTATATACTCATCATTTGACATTTGTTTGGCCTTTATTATAACTTTTTTGATTATGGCTGAATATCGCTTATAGTAGTTGACTATTTGACTTTATTAGGTTTGCTTTAGGTGAGGTGGAATTTATTTTAAGAGTGAGTACTTGAGCATTGTGGTCACTGAGCCCATATCATTGATGGTGATTGTGTATGTGTGTTTGGTTTTGTCTAAAAGGATTTGGTCTATTGCTGTTCTTTGACTGCCTGGTTGGTAAGTTGATTACTGCATCCTATAAAGGAGCGTACTAAGTTTATTAGTTTGATTCTGTCTGTTTCATGAGTAATATTAGCTGTAGGTAAGAAGTTAATGTTTATATCACCACAGATTATAATGGAGAAATGAGCCTGTGTTGTTAATTTATCCAAGATTTATTCTAAGTTTTTAAAGAATATTTGAAGATTTTCATCAGGTGCTTGATAAATACTTGAGAGGAAAATGTTCAGCTTTGGAATTTCTACAATTAAACATTGTATGTCTGAGACGCATGTTATTTGTTTGAATTCATTTACTTCTTTGGAATCACAGTTGTTGGTCAGATATATGCATGTTCCTCCATGCGTATGATTGATATTGGTTTGTTTGGCCCTACGACAGAAGTTACCAGCAAAGTAGAGACCTGGTATTTTTATTTGATCCTCCATAAGCCAGTGTTCAATTATACAGATTGCATTTGTGTGTTTTAGGTGATATGTTTGCATAATTTCTATTTTTTGTATTTTGTTTTTAACGATCGAATGTTCTGGTTTAGAATCTTCAAGGTGTTGTGTTTTCCGGTGGTGACTCGTGTAGAAGTTATTGTTTGCTACAGAATGAATCTGATGGTGGCAATTAATTAACTCAGAATAGTGCACCCTTTCCAATAACTGCACCCTTTTTTCTTAACTATCCATTATAATCATTTATGACATAATGATTCCACTCATAATTTAAAATTTTTTAAAGATGTTTCAATCTCTAAGTGTGAGATTCTTTTCAGTATGTTACATATCTAAAATTACATTTATTTGTTTTATTTTTATGGAGCCTACAAAATCCCTTTAAGGGCAAAGGCCTCCTACTTTAGCTGGGTGAAAAGTTGGCTTTCATGTTTATCAAATGAAATTGCTTTTACACAAAATTAAATTACATATAATTACACAACACACAATTACGCAATTTTACACAAAAAACTGAACACAACACATAACAATACAATGTTAAACAGAAAATAAACACAACACATAATTACACAATGTTACACTAAAGAAGAAGAACACTACATGTAATTATACTACCTCTCACAAAAAATAAATTTCTCTTTGACTTAAACTCTTCCATCAATTTCTAATAATTATCTCAGTCTCTCGCTTAATCTTTACTCTGAATCGATTTTCACATTATGTAAATTAAATAAACAAAACAATAACAAACTTGAAACCTGAAAATTACTTAAACTTTCTCTTTGTCACAAACTCTTTGGTAGATGCCTTCCACTCTCTGTCTCTTGCTTCCTTTGACAATGTATTTTCAAGCTCGCTCTTAAAATCATCACTTCATCTTCTGTGCTGCCTACCTGGATTTTGCCAGCCCGTTCTTGGTTTCCATATTGTGGTTGAGTGGGCCCATCATTGTGGTTGTTGCCTTATGATGTGCCCAGACCAACTTCATTTTAATCAAGCTGCTTGAGTAGCTTCATCCCATATACCAGTCCTGTTTAGTATGTCCTCATTTCCAATTCTGTCTCTCAGGTTGATTCCTGAGATTTTTCTTTCCA